CCCCACAGAAAGCCTCACTTCATACCATCACAGAAGTACAAGTCATCAGGTGAAAACTCCATGCAATTCCTGCTATAAAAATTAAACCCACAATTTCTCCCTTTTATGACAGAAGAGGTCCTCCTCCCACCCAAGGCCAACCCCTCTTCTTGGGCTCTATTCTGACAAGGTTTCCTCCTGCCTTCTCAGATGCCATCTTTTCCAGTTCTCCTACACCCACAGCCTACTATTTCCGTTCCATCAACATTTAAGTAATAAGGCCAAGTTTCTACACTCTTACAAAAAACAATAATGAAACCAGCCCTCCCTCTACCCTGTATCCTCCTACAGGTCCCACACTCTGCGCTCCCCTTTACAGCCTATCCTCTCACAAGGATTGTCCTCATGAACTCCCTTCATTTCCTTTCTTCCTGTTCCTCAATCACCTGACAGCTGCCTCCCCTTCACTTCTAAAAGTGCTCTCATCAAGTCTCCCCAGGACTTCTTATAGCTAAACCTCACCGACCGACCTCCTCAGGCTTTGTCCTCCTCTGTAGGCCTTAACATCATGGTGGACTCCTCCCCACCTTTCCCAGACATGCTTTTCCCCTGGCTTCTGGACTACAGATCTCCCCTTGTCTCCCCTGCCCTTCAGTAGAAGTACTCTTATCTCTCTAGTATTGGAAATTACATTCAGCTAGACACTGGAGACTCAGCAAAAAAAAAAAACCTTTCCCTGCAGCTCCCTTAAATTCAGTCTCCTCAAGTTTCTTCACATCCAACACACTGGATCTCCCTGGGTGATTTCATCCACTGCCATGGCTTCAGCTGTCTTCTATAAGCTGATGACTCCCAAATCTACATGGCTAACCTGAGCTCTAAACTTGTATGCCCACCTGTCTAATGTCTACTAGATATTTCCTCCCACCCCCGCCTTGTCCCACAGGCACCTCACACTCACTGTGTCCAAAAACTTATCATCTGCTCTGCAAACTTGGAGCTCCTGTCTTGGAACAACACCATCCCCACTGCCTAAACCACAACCACATGTTCTCCCTCAGCCTCATTTTCCAACATCCAAACAACTATCAACTCTTTTGGGTTTTATAGCAAAAGCAAAGTTCAGAAATTCCAATATCTCCAAGGCATGTATAGCTCAAGTGTGATGATAAATGGCAACTAACATTCAGCCTAAAGTTGAGCTAAAGAGTACATGGTCCATCTAAAAGAGTGACAGCTTCAAGGTCTGAGGCAATTGCTGCCATATGGGAATGCAGGCCCAGTGTGATTACATTGTCTGATTTTTTTCAAGAGGGGCCAGAAAGTGGGTTTTTATATAAAATTTCCTGACTTTTATTGTTTCATTTATTTTTCTTTTTTTTT